TCGCTGGAGACCGCTGGGCAGGCGGGCGCCTGGCCCTCAAACGCCGCCGCCGCCGCTGACTCTCGATGCCTCAGATGCAGCGCGAGCTAGCAACTGCGTGCCGGGCTCGGCTTGGGCAGTCGGTGGCCGAGGCAGGTTGCGCAGTTCCCAGCTGGCGATCGCGCGTTTCGTTCCTGACATTCTGCGCGCGTGGGGGAGGGCGCCCCAAGAGTGCAGTTCGCGGATGTTCCCAGCATTTGTTCGCAGCAAACCCAGCCCTCCAGGTGACGCCAGGCCGATCGCGCTGCAGTCTCTGCGGTGTCGCGCGCGGCCGCGGCTTCGTCGGCCCGTCTCCAGACGCCCAGGGAAGAGCGCGGCGGGTGCGGCGATCCGCGGGGACTCTGGACGCGCGCGCGACAGGCCCTGTCACGCGCGCAACTTGCTGCAGCGACCGTCTGAGCCGAAGGGCTTCTCAGCTGCGGGCGTTTCTCCGCTGCGAGCGGCATGCTAGACCTTTTCGATTGGATACGAGCACGTCTCGCGCGAAGAGTTGCGCGCGGGAGTTTCGAATACACGCGCCCCCCCCGCACAGGCGGCCGCAGCGCCCGCAAGAGTGCCTAAACCCTAGACAAGGGGCCCGGCATGGCAGTCGGCATTGTCAGGGGTGGTTCATGCCGGCGGGACTTTCGCGGCGGGCTGCGGCGCGGCTTCTGCGTTGGCCAAGGGGCTGGTCCACGCTCCAGTCCGCAGGCTGCAGCGCCAGCTTCCAGGGGCCAGGTTGCATGACATTGCGGGTGATGTGCGGCCCCGGGCAATGGGGCTGTTTTAACCGGGCGTCCACCCAGATTTCGCTGCGCTCATGGGCCTAGTCCGTGGGTTAGCGACCGAGAACTTGCGCACCAATTCGGACGAGACTGTGCATCTGGCCTGTTCGAGCGTTCCAGCAGCGCCCAGCCTGAACGAGCGCTGGATTTGGCCCGAAGCGGACAGATCCGTAGGACACTGTAGGAGCCAGGCGTTGAGGCACGGATGCCAACGACGGCTCGGGCAGGCGGGTCTCAGCGCAGAACGAGCGCATTCCGAAATACGGGCGCGTCTTAGCCAAGGTGCGGGAATTTGCGCGAAGCAGGAGTCTAGGTGAACGCCGTCATGAGGAGGTTTCCGACGGCCGCGGCACTTCTGGTGCGTGGCTGTCACGGGCATTACGGGCCGAAAGTTGCACGGCCTCAGAATAGCGGCCTCCAGGGCCTCCGGGGCCGAGGGTCTCTTGCCCAAGTGTGCCCCGGCAGGATCGCGTTAGCGAGCCGCCCAGCGCGGGGCCCAACGTGGTCCGCTTGTCGCCCACTCGGTGGAAGTCGTGACACGATGGGCCCTGGCAGCATTTTGGACTTGGTCGCGCGGTGCCTACGAAGGCCAGGCCCTGGGCCCAGCGCGCGGGCACATCGCTGGCCGTCCGCGTAGCGTTTCCAAGGATCGGGATATTATCAACTTCTTCATATCGCTTGATATTTTTGGACAGGCGTACTCCGCGCTTGATTTTGGCGCGGGCTTTCTGTGTGGCCTTGCGCGTGAAACATCGTCGGCTGCCTCGTGCCTCTGGAGTCTGGGCTGTGTGACGGGGGCCTGTGTGATCCAGGTGCGCTGGAGTTCTCTCGAGCGTTTGTTCAGCACTGCGGCTAGCGAAACCTGGGGCCAACATTCGGCTATCATTTGAAACCGCATTGGAGGCTCCACTTGGATTCTTCCAGCTTAGCGGGGGACCTTGCGTCGCCGGTTATATCAGAGCCCGTGCCTCGAACGAGTGCGCAGGGAGGCATGCCCACCCTCTCTTCGAGGAGCTGCTGGAGGGTTTGCGGCTGGAGCGAGGCACGTGGAGATTTGTTCCGCAAATGCCTCTACCATTTCCCCCGCTGGTGTTTTCCCCGGGCCGAGCCTGATGTCAAGGGTTGGTGTGAGGGGGGGCCTGCTGACTGGCGCTTCTCGGGAGATGCGCGTTGCCGACTGGTCGGCGCATTGCGCCGCTGGGTCAGGAATCGGTCGCGCAGTTTTTTCGACTGCGCTGATTGACCAGGCACGCGCTGTCGTGGGAGCTTGCAATGGGATCGCGCTGCAGCAGGCGAGGGACGGAGAAGACGTGTTTTTTGAGGGGGGTGGGGCACCCATTGCGAGTGGGATCGCGGCAACCCCTTGCAAGTGTACTCAGACAGTGCCGCTTTTATCACGTGTTCTCGGGATCCTGGGGCTGGCCTGTCTGCGACGCAAGCCAGACAGCACTTCTGGCGTGAATGGCGTGGGGAGCGGTGGTGGCGCGGGCCGTTGCGCTCATGTGATTAAGGTGAAGAGTCACCAATCAGAGGGCGACTCGCTCCCTGATGAGCATGTGTGGTTGACTCGTGAATATGCAGGTGCTGGCATAGATGCCTAGGTAGGAGCTATGCTGCGGCAGACCACGACGCAGCATGTTTTTGTTGTTTCATCCAATGGTTCGGGAGCATGGTTGTTGCAACCACAGGATGGCAAGTGTTCGCGGAGTCCGGGCTCATGGATTCTCATGAGATTGATGGGGCCTCGGAGGTCACTCTCGAGGTATTAGGCCCCCAGGGTTTGGACGGTCCCCGCGGGGTTTGGTTGGAGGCGGGGGCGAGGCTTTTCGAAGGTGTGGACGGGGGTCAGCCTGCCTGGTGATGCCCCTCCCCCTTCCACTGCCACAACCTCCCCGTCAGCGCCCGCCGAAGGCGTGGCCGGGCCTCGGAGGCCCCTGGGTTTCCAACGGCCACGGTGCCGTGCGGGCGGATCTCCCCCAGCATCGCGGGGAGGTGCGGAGGTATTTCCAAGTGATGTGGGATCTCTCACGTTTCGGCAGGCCAGGAACGGGGGAGGGCCTGGATGTGGCCCATGCCAGGGGCCCGTGGCCCCTCGTCTGAGGACCCGGCGGTCCAGACTTCGGCGGGGGGGCGTCATTTGGCAGGGTTCACGCTCGGGTCGGCGCCGCGTCAGGCCCGCGCGCAGCGCAGATGGGAGCCTGGACGTCGCGGCTCTCGTCCTTCGGCTCCGGGGAGGGTAGCGACCGCCGCCTTCGGCGGTCAGGACGCACCCGCTGGCCGTTCCGTTGCTGCGGCTGCCCTTCGTTTATTGCGGGGCTCGGCGGTTCCGAGGCTACATTTGGTTTCGGTTCCCCGACTGCCGTGGTCGCGTTCGCCTGGATGTGTGAGCTCGGAAATGCGTCTTCGGACTAGGGGGCACCTGCCCCCATTTGGTCAGTGTTCATGTCAGTATTTCTCCTTGCCTTCCCTTCTCGCCCTCTCCCTCAGCCGCGCGTGCTTCCAGTGGCCAGGCCCTTCAGGACTGGCATGGCGCGGGCGCTACAGCCTCCGTGTTGTCAAGACTTCGTCATGGAGATTGGGAGCATCCAGGAAGACATACGAGACGGTGGCATGGAAGGCGCGCGCACCAAGAAACGATGAAGCCGCGCCATGGGGGACAAAAGACGGCGTGGATACTAGGTGGGGGAGAGGGCGGGGGCTTGCCACATGAGTGCGCAATGGGTAATTCTGCCGCGATCGCCACTTCTGCTGTACTTCTGGCCATCATGGGTACCCACCATTCACGTCACGACCCCTTCGTAGCGGACATGCGCAACAAAAATTGCCCAAGGTTACGCCCCTAGATGCCCATGGCCAAGGGTCGTTCTGATGTTCAAGGCCCACCGTTCAGCGAACAACTTTTGAATGGTGTTCTGCGGCGCAGAATTTCGCAAATGTGCAAGGATTTGGCATTTCGTGTTCTGCGAGACGTGACTGTCGAGTGCCATGTGGACAGCGCCAGATCAGCCCATGAGGCGAACACCAGAATCTACCGACGAAGAACTCCCAGAGTGAAGAGGAGCAGAGGAAGGATATGAGGAGGGGGACCTGCGAGGAAATATATGTGCGGGGTGAGGAGGAAGAGGCGTACGACGAAGAGAACGGGAGGGATGAGGAGGGGCAGGTGAGGATTAGGAGGATGGCAATCGCCGGTGCAGCCGAAAGCGGCAGGCGCAGGATAGCACGAAGGTGCCGGTTAGGCAGTGAAGAAACGGAGGAGCAATGGGAGGAGGAGCAGGAGGAGGAGGAGGAGGAGGAGGAGGAAAAGGAGGAGGAGGAGGAAAAGGAGGAGGAGGAGGAGGAGGAGGAGGAGGGAGGAGGAGGAGAGGAGGAGGAGGAGGAGGAGGAGGAGGAGGAGGAGGGAGGGGAGGAGGAGGAGAACGGCAGGAAGGGGGAGGAGGGGAAACGACAGGAAGAGGAGGGAGAGAGAAACGCTTCCTCGCTCCCACCGTCCTCCTCCTCCTCCTTCTTCTCGTTTTCCTCCTCGCCCCCTCATTCCCTATCCCCATCGCCCTCTTCCCAGCACCCCCCCTCCCTCCTGCCCTCACCCCCACCTCCGTCCTCTCTCACCTTCCGAGGGAGAACTACGAATACACAACCACATCATTTCGGAGCTCTGCTTGTACCTGTTGGATCGTCACTGGGCCCTCCTGGCGGCGCCTCTGGCCCCACCCCTGGCGCGCCACGGCAGTGGGGTCCAGCGCCGACCAAAGAATTCCGCATGAACCTCCGAGAGTTGCAGCCGTCTGTTGTTCTGCTCCCTCCTCGTCCTGCCCAGTTGTCGCACGGATATCTCCTGCCGTGCTCCCTAAGTGGGCGGTCGATTGCATGCTTTGTTTTGCAGTGTGTGTGTGTGTGTGTGCCTGGAGGCTGGAGGCTGGGCCGCGCTATGAGGCATCGTAAGTCCCGTGCTTTTGCTCAGTACGCTGATGTGCGTCTCATGCTGTTCCCCATGGTTGTGGCACTCCCAGGGGATACCAAAACCTTTGGAAAACAATGGAAATACCAAAACCATGGGGTGGACGAGGAGGGAATCATTCCCTCCTCGTCCTCCCCGCCTTGCCTCCCGGGGGCGGCAGCCGGCCACCGCGCCGAGCGCTTCGCCTCCTCGGGCCGCCGCCCCCCCCCCCCGCCCCTCTCCACCGCCGCCCGCGCCAGGCACCGCCTCAGCCTTGGGGAGGAGCGCCGCGTCCCCCCTCGAAGGAGGAGGCATGAGGAAGTGGAGGAGGAGGAGGAGGAGGAGGAGGAGGAGGAGGAGTATGAGGAGGAGGAGGAGGAGGAGGAGGAGGTGGAAGATGATGATGATGATGATGATGATGATGATGATGATGATGATGATGATGATGATGATGATGATGATGATGATGATGATGATGATGATGATGATGATGATGATGGTGGTGATGATGATGATGATGATGATGACGACGATGATGATGACGATGATGATGATGACGACGACGACGACGACGATGATGATGATGATGATGATGATGATGATGATGATGATGATGATGATGATGATGATGATGATGATGATGTGGAGGAGGAGGAGGAGGAGGAGGAGGAGGAGGTGAGGAGGAGGAGGAGGCAGGAGGAGGAGGAGGAGGAGCAGGAGGAGGAGGAGGATCATGAGGAGAAGGAGGAGGAGCAGGAGGTGGAGGAGGAGGAGGAGGAGGAGGAGGGTGTCCCCACCGCTTCCTCAATTTCCTCCCTCCTCCTCCTCCTCCCTCCTCCTTCTCCCTCCTCTCCTCCCCCTTCCCTCCTTCTCCTCACCATGAGGGTGGAGGAACAACGAAGGGGGGAAAGGAACAGGAGGAGAGGAGCATGAGAAGGAAGCGAAAAGGGAAGAGCAGGAGAAGGCTAGAGGAGAAGGGGGAGGGGCAAAGGGAAGGAGGGGATCGGCCTTTACATGCGCATTACGTCTTCTAATGGGAAGGGAAAGTGTATAATGGACTGTAGGAGGATGGTGAGAAGGATGAGGTGGAGGTGGAGCAAACGGAGCAGCAGCAGGAGGATGAATCCGCGGTCCTTGGGGATGCCTATCTCCAGCATTTCAGGCAACGTCGGCTACAGTCGGTGGCGTTAGAATGCCAGACGTCTAGCAGACTCGTTCAAGATCTTTGGGATTAAAAGTGCCCATATACGTTCCGTTCCATAGAGGCCATCTTCGCCAGAAGACGGCGGCGGTAGCCAGCGGAAGTTGGCAGCGATGACGTGCACGTTGGCAGGGTCTGGTACCACGATGTTTCGCGCGTCCCTTCTGTCCGCTCGACGGTTTCCCCAGTGCACGAGTACAGCGGGCGAGTGGAGGGTCCTGGAGGGCTGGTCGGTCTGGTCGATTTGCAGGGCAAGCAGCTGAACTCGTCCTGGGTTGCCCTGGCTGCGGGAGATGGGGCTTCCAACGGGAGTGAGATGCCTTGCCCTACTCACTGCCATTTGTCCCCATCTGGAGTGCGCACCGGCTACTGGGGATACAGGGTCTGGGCCGCCTGGCATGGTGGCTCTGTCTATACACACACGCACACACCCAAGCAGAACGCGCACAGGCGCGGGGTGAGTCTCGGGTGGGTCGAGGGTCAGTCGCGGGTGGGTGGCGGGGTGGGTGGCAGGTGGGTCGTGGGGTGGACGACGACGACGACAAACAACAACTAGCATCATCTGGACCACAGAACCAACTTCACCCACGCACCCAGGGATGATGTAAGACCGTGCGGCCCCCCTCACTATGATATACACGTGGCACGTGTGTGTAGGCTCATGCAAAGCGTCGTGCAATATGTGTGTTTGTGTGTGTGCTGTACATTGCGTGCGATGTGCGTGTGTGGTGGGTGTCTTGTGTGTTGTGTTTGTGTGTGTTCTGTGTATGTTGTGTTGTGTGTATGTCATGTGTGTTGTGTGTCGTGGGGCATCTGTTGCTCAGGGGCGGCCGTTGGTCCGCGGAACTGGGGGAGATTGTAGGAATCCTGAGGGGGGCGATCGGCATCCGCAGCGGCATGACTTCACGCTGGCCAGCGTGCGAGCGATTCGGCCAGGGGGCAGGGGTGAGAAGCGCAAAGAGTTTCTAGGGTCTGTACGCGAGCGAAGAAAGGGGGACAAGGCGCCAGTAGTTCGACGACGTCTCGTTCCACCAGCTATCAAGTGTGTGGTGTGTGTGTTGTTGTTGTGTTGTCTGTTGTGTGTGTTTTCTGTTGGTTCCGTGTGTGTGTGTGTTGCTTCGCCCGCGCGTGTAATTAGATCGGCTCTCGGCCCGGACCTTTCACCACGGTGCCTGCGCGTTCGCTTGCGCCCGCGAGGAAAAAGTGTGCTTGTGTGTTGTAGGAGCTGTGCGTGTGTGTTATGAGTGTGTTATGGATGTGTGTGTGTCGGTGTAGGTGTGTGCGCGGTTGTGTGTGTGTGTCTGTCATGCGTGCTGTTCGGTTGTCGTGTGTGTGTGTTTGTGTTGTGTGTGCTTGTGTTCAGGTGGTGTGTATGTGCCCTGTGTTGCGTGTGGATGGTCTGTTGTGTGTGAGTGTTCCGTGTGTGCTGTACGTCGGGAATCGATGTTGCGAGGATGTCTTAGGCGAACATGATTTTTACGAATGTGCGCAGAATCTTTGAACACCCCATATGATCCTAAAAGGCTGTATAAGAACATGCTTGGCAATAAGGCTGTGCTATTGGGTTGTGACGTCGCGATCTGAGTGAGGTATGCCCCTGGTTCTCAGGAGTTTGAAGATCTGTCAAGCGAAATGACCAGACAAAACAAGGACGACTTCAAGTTATCGCCTCGGAATTCTGCTCTTTCGGAGTGGTGCGCATGATAAAAACACAGAGGACGAAGAGGGAGGGAGGGATGAAGAGGACGAGGGGGAGGAGGAGGAGGAGGAGAAGATCCTGAGGAAGGGGCGGAGGGGTGAAGGTTGAGGAGAACGGAAGCGAAGAGGGGAGGGAGGGATGGGTCTGGGCAAGCTAGAAGGAGCAACACGAGGACGGGGAGAAGGGGAGGGGTGACGAGGAGCGGCGAGGCGTGGGGGTGGTTGGGACCCCTCCCCCCACCTCAGGTTTCCTCCTTTCTCAGGCGGTCGCAAACATGGATTAACGGGGCGTGGATTAGCGACGGGTCTGGTTTCCATAGGACTCGCGGATTTCCGCCGCCGAGAGAGGCGGCACCGACCGCATTTTGGGGAGGGCACCTCCCCCGATCCATGGATTTGGCGACCGCGTGCCAAATCCATGGATCGCTAATCCATTTTTGCGCGCCCCGATTTCCTACCCTCGTTACCCCATTCTCCTCCCCCTCGCTCCCCTCCTCATCCTCCCGTGCCGTCCGCGCACGGCTCCTCCCAGAGTGGTGACAAGCTGCGCGGCCAAGAAGTGCTAGCTGTGCTTTCCCCTGCCAGTCTCGCGGTCTCCGTCGATGGCGGTCATCAGATTGACAGTCGGAGCGCGGGACCTCCTCCTCCTCCTCCTCCTCCCGCGACAGTGGCGACAATTGCGCACTTCGCAGCCCCCAGTGAGCCGCGAGGTCCCCACTGGATCCCGAGGCCCCGCACTCCACGGGACCTCCCAGTCTGCCAGGCTGTCAGGGCACATTGTGTTGTTCCCCCGGCTCTCCCCTGGGCTCCTCGCAGGCATTGGGCGTCGCCTCCTTCCCGAGGTTCTTCAGGGCAAGATTGGGCAGTGCCGTCCCTCCCCCTGTCGAGAGGATGGCCGTCTGACGGCACGCGGCGCAAAGGCCCATCCTCCTTGTTCTTCCCCGTTCCTCTTACCTCCGCCTCCTCTGTCCTGCCTCCTTTTTTCACTTTCTCCTGCCTCCTCCCTGCTCGTCCTACATCCTCGTCATCATCCGTCTTCGCCTCCTCCTCCTTCTCCTCCTACTCCTGCTCCGATCCTTATTTCACATTGGTCTATACTCATACTCTGCCACCTAGCTGGCCGATAGCGTCCAGATCCTGGCGGTCACATCATACGTACCCCAAGCGAGAAAGATATGCTTGATTCCTCTCAACATGGACATGATGTCGCCCATGTTGCAAACTGCGTGGCAGTAATGGCACGGGGCGCGCATCTCGCGCGAAAGGCCGAAGTGTCGCTCTCGCCTTGGCGTTGCGCTCCTTGCTCTGTAGATCTGAGCTCCTGCTTGAGCGCTGCGCACATTTCGTTCGCGCGCAATTTCGTCGACGCGCAAGTTGGCGTAAATGTCGCTTTCGCCACGGCGCCGTCCAGATTTCGCCTGGAAGTGGCGCTCCCGCTTCGACGCGGCGCACCTTTTAGACTCGCGATTTTTTTGGGGGGGCCACCGCTTGTGAGCGACGTGGCATTCCACCGCGGGCGCGGCGCATGGCTCTTTTGCCGAGTCGCGCGACAGCGACAGTCTCAGCGGGGCCGCGCGAGAGCGGGCGAAATGCCGACCTCGCCCAAAGCGCCGCGCGGCTTGTGCGTGAACGTGTCAGTGTTGTGTCAGCGCGGCGCGTGCTTCGTCTTCGCCGCGCCCATCTGAAGTTTTGCCGTTCCTGCCCTTGCGCGGTCGGCGTAGCTTTCTCTTCCCTACGTCGTCGGAAGCGGGTCTATGCACGAGCGCCTTCCCTTTGCGTGGTGGGAACGCGTTCCAATCCTAATATTGAGTTGTGCCAGAATGCCTTCTTATGCTGTGGCAGGGCTGGCGGGAGTAGGCGGGGCCTTCTGACTCGCTGAACCCGGCTTGCCCCTACTCCTACTAGTTTTCCTACCCTCCCTCTCTCTCTCGTTCTTCCCCCTGGCTCCAGGAGAAGGGGGTTTGAGAGGCCCCCCCCCAAACCCCACTGCGCCGCAGGAGCTCCTGCCGAGCATCGCGGAGGAGGAGGAGGCGCGATACTCCCTCTAGCGCTCCCCTCCTCCTCCTGCTCCATCTGCTCTCCTCCTCCTCCTCCTCCTCCTCCTCCTCATCATCATCATCATCATCATCCTCTTGCTCATTGGCCTGCTTCCCCCGCCCTCCTCGTCTCTCCTCGTCCCGCTCCTCCTGCTCTCTTCTTTCTCTTCCTTTCTGCTTCCTGCTCCTCCAGGTCAGTCCTGTCCTCATTTGCTTTCCTCGTGTCCTCCTCCTTCTCCTCCTCCTCATCCTCGTCATGTTCCCTTCCTGCCCCCTCCCCCTCCTCCCCCGGGCGAGGGGAGCAGGGAGGATGGAGGGAAGGAGTGGCGAGGAGAGAGAGAAAGGTAGGAGGGAAGGACGAGGAGACTGGCCTCTCAGGGGCATCTCGAGGCCTCTTGCTGGCGGTTTCGGGGCAATATTTGAAGGACGTGTCCGGAGCATCAGTTCATCAGTTCGGGATCCCCCTTTTGGGGCTCATCTGGAGGCCGTATTTTCGGGCGTAGCCCGAATTTGTTTCTCGCGAGGTAAACTGACTGGACTGGACCAGACTGGCTTGGACTAAACTAGGCTGATTGAACTGAATTGAACTGAACTGAACTGAACTGACTGGTCGCACTCGTCACTCGACGGTTTTACTCGGCGGAAGAGGGCGCAACCTGTGGCGTAACCAATAACAGACAGTTTAATTTGGTGGCCGAGGGCGCAATCTATGGTCGCAACTTTTGGCGCAACCAATCGGAGAAGGTGTTATTCTCGGCCGCCGAGGGCGCGACCTATGGCGCAACCGATAGGAGACGGTTTTATTCTCGACCGCCGAGGGCGCAACCTATGGCGCAACCAACAGGAGACGGTTTTATTCTCGACCGCCGAGGGCACAACCTACGGCGCAACCGACAGGAGACGATTTAATTAGTGGCGGCCGAGGGCGCAACTTATGGCGCAACCAATCGGAGACGGTTTTATTCTCGGCCGCCGAGGGCGCAACATATGGCCCAACCGATTGGAGACGTTTTTATTTTCGGTCGCCGACGGCGCAAGCTTTGGTGCAACCGAAAGGGAACGGCTTGATTTTCAGCCGCAGAGGGCGCAACCGATAGGAGATGGTTTTATTATTGGCGGCCGAGGGCGCAACTTATGGCGCAACCAATAGGAGACGGTGTTTTTGTTGGCGGCCGAGGGCGCAACCTATGGCGCAACCTATCGGAGACGGGTTCATCATCGACCCCCGAGGGCGCAACCTATGGCGCAACCAGTGAGAGACGGTTTAGGACGCAACCTATGGAGCAACCACTCAGAGACGGTTTTATTCTCAGCCGCCGAGGGCACAACCTTTTGCGCAACCAACAGGAGACGGTTGTATTATCGGCCGCCGAGGGCGCAACCTATGGCGCAACTGATAGGAGACGTTTTTTTTTCTCGGCGGCTGAGGGCGCAACCTATGGTGCAACCAATAGGAGACGGTTTTATGCTCGGTCGCAGAGAGCGCAACCTCAGGTGCAACCTATAGTGGATGGTGCCATTCTCGGCGGCCAAGGGTGCAACCTACTTGTGTCCCTTGTACGAGCAGGACGCCGTCAACGCACTCACCGTGCTGGGGGCCCGCGAGTAGTACAAGGACGAAGCGTGGGCATCCAAATGCGTGCGGGGCTACGCCCGATGTATGCTCGCCGTTTGGGCTGGCGGTGGGGCCCACGCGGCGAGCTGTCTTCCGATTGGGGCTGGTTGGGCCCCTTGGGGTGCCGTCTTGGGGCGACCTCATTGCCATCTCTGGCTGTGTTGGATGCTCTTCGGGGCGGAGGACCGCGAATGGCAAAGTCCTACTAAACGCACACACACACGCACACGCATACACGCATCGCATACACGCACACATGCACACACACACGCACATACACACACATACACGCACCCACGCACGCACGCACGCACGCACACACACACACGCACACGCACACACACGCGCACACGCACGCACGCACACGCACACGCACACGCACACACACACACACACACACACACACACACACACACACACGCACGCACACACACACACACACACACACACACACACACACACACACACACACACACACACACACACACGCACACGCACACGCACACGCACACGCACACGCACACGCACACGCACACGCACACGCACACGCACACGCACACGCACACGCACACGCACACGCACACGCACACGCACACGCACACGCACACGCACACGCACACGCACACGCACACGCACACGCACACGCACACGCACACACACACACACACACACACACACACACAACAGACGACGGTGCTGGCCCGTCGGGCCGACCCCCAGGGCCTCCGAGACGGCCTCAGAGGAGCCCAAGGAGGCGTGAGGACGCGTCCGTGGACCATTTCAAGTCCCTATCTGTCTCGATACTCCCATGTTGAAACGCAACACGTCCCGTGTTCAAGGCGTCCGTGCCAATACGTTGCGCGTTGGTTCCATGTATTGGCACACGTTTTGGCGAACGTATCGCGTCAGACCTACGTGTTCAGTCTTCGTGTTGAGCTCCGTACCAATTCGCTACGTGTTGCGCGTTGCGTATCGGGGCAGCTACGCTCAAGTCATGTCTTTGAAGTGTGGGATCCCAACCACCGTCCCGAGGTTTCTGGTAGAGTCACGCCAGTATCCTCGAGATCGCTCATGACAGCCGAACATCCAGGGTCCAGGCCCTTCTATGGAGAACTCGGCTGGGCCTGAGGGCACTCCATGTCGTACCTGGCGGCACGGTGGTGGATATCGGGCAGCAGGGGCACAGGGTGCGCGAGCACTTGCAGGTGGAGGTGGAGCAGCAGGAGGAGCTGCAGAAGGATGACACGAAGCAGCCGAATCCATTTCCCAAGGGAGCATCCTGTGGAAGGTCAGGGGGAGGGTGGCCAGGACGCTTCCCTCTACGTATAGCTATTCTGGCCCCATTATAGTTGGGTCAGTCCTCCCCCACCCTCTCGGGCAGTGCCAAGGGGGGTCACCACCAGGGGGGGTGTCTTCAGCCACCCCCGGAAGTCGAGGGTATCCAGGTTGAGAGGTTGAGAGCGGGTCGAACATCGATGAGGTTCTGGACGTTCTTGGGCGCCTTCCTGTAAGTTTCCGAAGGGTCCCCCCAGGGGAGTCCGCCTCCAGGAGGAGGCGGTGACCCCCTTGGTGGCGACCCCCATCGGATCCAGCCCATCCTTGGACATCGAGGGGATCGAGGCGGAGGGCGGTTTCGAGCGTCGAGGAGGCTCTGGATGTTCTTGGGCGCCTCTCCTATAGGCGCTCCCGCCGGGCCCCACCAGAGGGGAGCCCGTTTCCAGGACGGGAGCGACGGCCACTTTGGACGCGACCCCCCTCGGCACTGCCCCGGCCTCCACGTGGCGCATGGCCGCCCATGGCCGGGCGTCCTGCCAGCTGCTCCGCCACGGCCGCCGCTGGTGCGCCGCAGCGCAGCCGCCCCGCCCAACGATCGAGTGGCCGAGGCCGGGGCGCGTCGGGATCTCGGGGAGAGAAGAGTACAGGTGCCGCTGCCCCTCCTTCGTTTTCGCCTACTTTGGGTGGCCTCCTGGGAGGCCATCTTCGCCACCGCGGCATTCGCCTCGAGATCCCAGTCGGGGCTCGGCACTCTGGGAGAGGCCTGGGGAGTTGGCGGTACCTGTATCTGCTGGTTTCCCCAGGATCGTCGGCATCGGGCAGCTGGGGCAGGCCGTGGCTGGCAACCTGATCCGTGCCGGCTTGAGCCCGGTCCTCCACGACATCAAGGGCCCCTCGGTGGCCGGGGGTATGCTGGAGCAGGGGGCCGAGTGGGCCTCCACGCCGCGCGCCCTGGCCGAGAGGTGCGACGTGGTGATGACGGGACTGCCCCGGCCCGAGCACGTCTCAGCCGCCATGGGCATTGGCAAGGACGGCGGGGTGGGCGACAGCGGCATTCTGGCAGGGCTGCAGCCCGGCGCGGTGTGGATCGAGCACTCCACCACGGACTTCGAGAACACCATGAGGATCAGGTCCGAGGTCGAGAAGCGGGGGGCGTCTGCGGTGGCGGCGCCGGTGACGGGCGGGATGCAGATCCTCAAGGTCGGTAAGATGGTGGCGCTCGTGGGCGCGGACGAGGCCACCTTCGAGCGAGTGAGGCCGCTCATCTCGCTGTCGGCGCCGCGCATTGTGCGCTGTGGGGAGTTCGGGCACGAGACGGTCGTGAAAATTCTCACGAACATGTTGTGCGCGGTGCAGGATTGTGCCATGGGCGAGGCCATGATGATCGCCAAGAAGAGCGGCGTCGATATGAAGCTGCTCTTCGACGCCATGCGCATCTCCTCGGGCAACTCGTTCTGCTGGGAGACGGAATTTGCGCGCGTTGCAGACGGCACCTACACGCCAGACTTCACGGCAGAGATGATGGCAAAGGACGTAGAGTTGGGCCAGGGATTGGCAAGGCGGCACGGGGTGCCGATGCTCATGCACGGGCAGGTGGCCCAGATATACGAGATGTGCATGGCGCGCTACGGCAAAGACTCTGGGTCCACTATCCCAGTGAAGCTGATCGAGGACCTGTGCGGCACACCCTTGGCCGACGAGAAGCTCAAGGCCGCCTTCAAGGATTGGACGTACACGACCGAGATCGTCGACGGCAGTTACACGATAGTCCACAAGAACATCGACAACCCATACTCTTCGATCAGTCTGCAGAGCACGGAGAGAAAGTGACGAGGTCGCGTGAGGCGGTGCCCACTTGCCGAGGTAGAAACCTGTTTGAGCCCAGGGCCCCGTAAGGTTTCGGGGATCGCGCCAGGCGCCGCGCCTCAGCTTTCCTCTCTTACCCTCCCTTTCACTCCCTCCCGTCACTAGGTAGTAATTTGATATGGGTAGTATTCTCCCTCCCCGATACCGTCCAGCGTGCTGGCCGCCTCTTCCGAGTGTACTTTCCTACCCTCATGTGTAAAGTGGCGTCCCCGCTCTGAATCCGCAGCGCCCCACGTCTCGCACCTCCTGATCCCTCCCCCCTCAAATCCTTCGTGGCCCCACCGGGAGCTCTGCCGAAGGCCCCAGCAGCAGGGTTCGCACGGCGTCGCCGAGTCCACGTCGGCAACCCCCTCACAACCTTCGTGGCCCTGCCGGGAGTTCCGCCGAAGGTCTCAGCAGCAGGGTTCGCACGGCGGCGCTGCGTCCATATTGGCACCCCCCTCACCCGGCGCCCCCCTCACATCTTTCGTGGCCCCGTGGGGAGCCCCGCCGAGGGCCTCACGCCTTGACATCAGATAGGCCCCCTGGACATGCTGTCGGTACGGGTCCCGTATCTTGCTTCTGAGGCCGAGTGCGATCCCTGCCGTGCCCGGAAGCGGCGGCCCGTGGTCTCTCACAATGGTTTCCCGTATCGTCTCCCGTGTGGTCTCCCGCGTGGCTTCCCCAGGTGGTCTCCCGCAGTGTAGGTATCCCGTAGAGTTTCCCGCGTGTGAGGGTGAATTCGCAGAAGAAGAAAAAACACATCAACATAAACTTCTGGCGCTCCGCACAGTTTTCTTGGATCCGCGCTGGGCCCCTCCTGGCGGCGCCTCCGGCTCCGCTCCTGGCGCGCTCCGCGCGCCCGGGAGGGGGGGTCCAGCGCAGCCCCAAAAGTTTATGTTCATGGCCTTTTTCTTCCTCTATGAATGTTTCCCCGAATGCTATCTCGTATTGTCTCCCGTGGCTTCCCGCATGTGGATTCCCGCGTGTTGTTTCCGTTGAGTCTCCCGCGTGGTCTCGTGCTTGTCTTTTGAGTTTTCTATGTGTTGTTTCGTACATTGTCTCATGTATCATGTGCTAATGCAGTTGAGGGTCTTCTGTCGTCTGGGACTATGGGTGTACCGCTCGGACTGTGTTCGGTCCTTCGAACATTGTGTTCCCGCTGTAGTGTTGGCAGAAGTTGAGGATCGCGGATGAGTTCTGGATCCAATTCGTCCCTCGTCGTTGCCGCTCCCTCCATTTTCCATCCTCTGCTTTCCCCTGGTACTCTTGCTTCGCTCTTTCTGCCTCCTCCTTGTCAGCATTATCATCATCCTGCTCAGCTGCCACCTCACTCACATCAATTATTGCCATGGCCTCTGGCCACTGCCGCGCCGATCGGGGGGGGTGCTGAATGTTTGTGCGACAAAGGAATGTGCAGGTGGCAGCAGGCTCCTCCCTTCTCGCCATTATTTCTTACCCCGATCCTTCCCTTCCTCTTTGGGTTTTCTTTTGTGGGAAAAATAATGGGGAGCAAAAGAAAAGGAGGGAGCTGAGCTGGGGCTCTGTGGGCACTTTTGAATGGCAATTGGCCCATTCCGCCACAATGCCTGGTGTGGGTGGTAATTCAGCTTGTGAGATGTTCGTGGGGATGTCGTGGGAGGGCTCTCGTTGTTTTTGGAGGCAGGTTATATGCCTGTTGGGCGCCGTTTTGGGGCTTCTTGGGCGCTTCATGGGAATCTCTTGAGGGCTCAGCGGGGCCTCTTGGGACCTCGAGGGGGTATCTTGGGCCACAAGGCAGAAATTATTTGTTCGGGCTTCCACTTTGTGGCCTCTCCTGGCGCTGTCTTGGGACTTTCTTTGGCCGTCTTCGGCGCCTATTGGGCGGTTTCGGGACTCTCTTGGGTCTTGTGGTTGTGTTCGGGGGTCTTTGGGACAGTACTGGGAACTGTTTGGAGCGTCTTGGACGTCGTGAAGGCCGAGACGTCGAACATGCCAGAAGTTAAATTGTTGTTGCCTCTTCGCGCCCTCCTGGGTGTGAACTCGGGGCCTCTTGGGACGTCTTGGGCGCTTTTGCGGCCGACTGGAGGCTATCTCGGGCGTCTGAACACGGTCGTTCAGCGATTGTGTAAGGCCTAAGGGGTCCTGAGTTGTACATTTTGACGTGTCCGAGGCCCCCCTAGAAAGCGGAGCAAAGCGGAGCACAGGCGCGCTTGGGGCCACCCCCGCTTTCCACGGCAGAGCCACCCCGGCAGCCCCCCGCAGCAGAGCTGAAGATCAGGCTCTAGGCTGTGGCTTAGGCTTTTTGAACCCCACACGCCAGATCGGCGGATTTGTGTCTGATGTGCCGTCCGTCCTCGTTCAATGTACGACGCCCCCCCGCCCTTCCTGATTGTGCACCCCACGGTTGGCCCATCATGGGAATCAAGCTTTTCAGGACACACCAGTCGGCGGACAGATCATTGATGGGCTGGAGAGGCAGGATTTCAGACCTGGCGCGGCCGCATTTGGCTTGCCCCTCGCTCCTTCCCGTCCCCCCACCAACATGTCCACCTACCGCGCCCCTCTCCACCCGTGCCCGACGGCGCAGAGGGGGCGGGCATGGACAGACGGTTCAGAAGGCCTCCAGCCTTCTGAGAATATTCCCCAAACAGTGTTTGCACTTAGGGGCCCTATATTTTTTCGAAGGAATTGGACCTGTCTTCGCTATGTTGTCGCCGTCGCCGCCTCATCGTCGCGCGCGGATGCCGAAAACCATCAACAACCAGGTTTTGCAAGGTTTTCAACATTGAGTGCCACGAAAGCATATTAAACAAAGAACTATGTCTTTGCAGCAAGCTTTTCCCCGTGATCTTGCCATTTCTTAAAACAACCATCGGTTCTTCGACATTTCCACCACATGCTTGAAATGGGCCACTCGAGCGCGCGTGTCGAAGTCGTTCGAACGCCCTTGCACGCGTGCTGTCGCAAGAATTCCTTGCAACGGATGGGACGAAATACGCACGCGCGCGTCGTCGCGCGCGCATGCCGAAATCCTTGAGAAAAATCGCGGTTTCGGAAGGATTTCATAATCGGGCGCCCCGAAAACAAGTTTAACGACATGGTTTTGCAAGGTCTGTATTCACAATCAAACTGCGCTCGCGCTCGTGCGGATTTTCAGAGGGAAAAAAGAGCTAATGCTTCATCAAACTCTGCCAAACAGGCCTCTCGCGCCGCATGTCGAACTCATTCGAACACGCTTGCGCGCGTGCCGGGCACATCGCGCGCGGCGGCCGCGCGCGCTTGGCGAACTCCTTCACAAACCTTCATCGCCGACGCGACGACATTGTCTTCGTTATCGACGTTCGTGATCAGCATCTGCGATGTCATTGGCGTTGCCGTCGTCATCGTCACCTTCGTCACCATCGCTGCTCCCATAGTCGTCCAAGTCCCCGACACGCATTGAAGTGCCCGCTGGGAAGTGCCCAGCGGTCAGCGCCACCGCGGCCGCGTCGGCCGCGCCAAACCAGCTGGCCGGTGTGCGCGCGAGCATGCGCGGGCTAGCGCGGCCACAGAGATGAATGCACCAGCCAACGCCAAGCACTCATCGCAATCGCCGCCACATGGGTTTTGAAAACCACGGTGCGGGTTGGTGGGTGGGATGCTTGCAAGAGCAACCCGTTTGTAAAATCAGTTGCACCACATAGACTGCACCACGCAGACAGCACCACATCGATTGCACAAGCTGGATTGCAGCACCTAGATTGCACCGCGTACGTTACTCCACATAGATTGCACAACGCGTAGAAGCCCGCCGCCTTCTGAGAAAGCTCGTCCTCTCTTGCTTCCCCCCTCCACGCGCCGCCGAGTGTCACCTTCCCCCACCTCTTCCCCTCACCCTCTCCCGTTCCTTACTGCCCTTTCACTTTTTCCTTGTCGCAGGCGAGCCTTCTCTCCCAGCCCTGGCCGTGCCGGTCTGGTTGCGGGCATTTCCGTTCCCCCTTTGTGTCCTCTCCCTCCTCCTTCTTTTTCTTTTCCTCTTTCTCATCTCCCGTCTCCTGTCCTCTCCTTGTCCTCCTCCTCCTCCATCTGGTGTACTACCCTCTCCTCCTCATCCCCCTCCTGCCCTGTCTTGTCATCACCGTTCTTTTCCTTTCCTTTCCCTTCCTCCTCCCCCTCCGACTCGAATGTCGTTTTCCTGCTGCGCTGCTTCCTCTCTCCCCGTCGCCTTGCGGCACGACCTGCCGGGAGCCAGCGGCGCGGGGCCGCAGGCCAGGTGGTCCAGCTTACAGTCTGCTCGCCGTGCCCGGCCTCGTGCTCTGAGCAGCGGCTCCGAGGCAGGAAACAGCGAGCTCCGCGCCGTCTCGAGCGAGGAGAACAGCTCGGGTATAGCCAGGACCCCAGGTAAGGGGACCTAGTTAGTACTAGGGCCCTTGAGCCCCTACATTGGCGAGGATCACTAAACCAGGTCTGCCGTAGCTGGTGCTTTTTTCGGGTGACGGCACTTCGGGTTAGTCGAACGGGGCGGAGGGGGGGCGTCCCCCAGTACACATTACCAAACCAGGCCCCACGAAACCCAGTTCTGCCAACGGCCGAACTGTGCACATGCACGGATCCTTCCTATTGCGGGCCGCGTCTATATCCACATCCAGTGCGTCTTGGAGTTTCGGGTTCTCTTCCCCAGAAACATGAGGCGCGCTGGATATCGATTGTACAATATGGCCCCGAAAGGCTAAAGTTTTATCTATGTCCAGTGCGCCTCGGCCTTGCGGTGCCCCTCCCAGAAAATTCCAAGACGCACTGGATATCGACGCACCCGCGACCCACCCGCGACCCACTTGCGGCCCACCCGCGAGCCACCCCGCGACCCACCCGCGACCCACCCGCGACCCACCCGCGACCCAACAGCATCCCACCCGCGACCCACTCGCGAATCACCCGCGACCCATTTGCGACCCACCAGTGACCCACCTGCGACCTACCCACCCGCATGTTTTTTGGGTATAGCCAGGACTCCAGGTAAGGGGACCCGGCTAGTAGTAGGGCCCCAGAGCCCCTACATTGGCCAGAATAAATAAATCAGGTCTGCCATAGTTGGTGTTGTTTCGGGTGACGGCGGGGCCGGGGGGGCCTCCCCCGGTACACATCACTAAACCAGGTCCCACTAAACCCAGTTCTGCCAACGCCCGAGTTTTTTCTTCGTCTGCATCCACTTCCTCGCTTCACCCTCTACAGTTACAATATGAATACGACTCTCCTCTCTCCCCAGGCGACGTCCGGGAACTATTCGGCGCCCCTCCGCGTAATGGTTTTATGCACAGGATTCCCAGGAAACGGGTTTTCGCTAGGTTTTTTTTGAGGTGCTGCTCTCGCTGAAGCGCTGGCCTCATTTTCGGGCTGCCGCTCGTTCCGAATCGTGCTTCCGCTGCAGCGCTGGCCTCATTTCCGCACTTCCACTCGTTCCGAATCGTGCGCCCGGCGCTGGCGTCATTATATCCAGCGACATGCCACGGCATGATTTTCGGTCTTTCCAAATAGGCCCTAAGATATAGAAAATGCTTCCCGAAACGACCATCGGAAGTGATTACACATTCGGTGTCGATTTGTTGAGTTGCTTCTGCCGCAGGAGCCATGCTATGTCAGGCTATGCTATGCCATGCTATGTCAGGCTACAAATTGATCTTCAACACCATGCTATGCCATGTAATGCTATGCCCTGCTACGACATCAGACTGTGCGAATAGAGAGAAGATCTACGACATGGTAAGGGATTGGACGGTGGGGTTGGACGTCATATATGACGCGAGCGCACCTAGCTTGCCTCTCCCCCTCTCGCTCTCTCTCTCTCTCTCTCTCTCTCCCCTCGCCTCTGCCTCCCTCCGTAGACCCTTCTTCTCTCCCCCTTTCTTTTCCCTCTCCACCCATTCCCTCTCTCTCTCTTTAGCTCTCTTTCCCTCTCTCTGTCTATCTCTTTCTCTCGTCATCCTTTCTCTCTCTCTCTCTCCCCCTCTCTCTCTCTCTCTCTCCCTTTTCCTCTCTCGTTCTCTCCATCTCTCTCTCTCTCTCTCTCCCTCTTCTCTCTCTACTCCCCCAGTCGTCCGTGAGGTCATCAGGTCAGAAGCGTCTCGGGTACCCATGTCCCAGGTCACGAGAAAGTGCTTGTCAGGTCTGGAGGAGTGCAGTTACAGGAGGAGGATGGGAGACAAGAAGAAGCAGAGGCGGAGGGCTTGGATAATGGAGAGGACCAGGAGGAGGATTGGAGGAAAATCAGGTGGATGCGGATCGGATGAGGAGGACACTGAGGGCGGGGAGGAGCAGGATGGCGACGAGGATGAGGATTTGGAGGACGAGGAGGGCGATGGTGAAGATGCGCAGCAGAAGGAGCAAAGCGTGGAGGAGAACCAGGCGGAGCAGGAGTAGGTGGGGGGGTGGGCGATATGGAAACTGACGAAGACTCACGAGGAGGGCGCGGATGACGAGAGGAGGCGGATAATAAAGAGGACGCGAATAACGACGAGAACGAAGAGGAGGGAAGTGGAGGAACACGAGGAGGGACAACAGCATTCAGATAATCTCGGGTAGGGGATTGGATTAGAATGGATAGTAGGATGAGGAGGCGGACGAACTTTCCCCCCAAACAGTGCTTGCACATAGGGGCTCCAACCGCTCCTCCAAGGAACTGGGCCTGACGGGCGGCCTACGGGTTCCATGCTCGCCGTCGCCGCCCCGTCGCTGCTTCGTCGCCGCCCGTCGTCTGGGCCCGGGTGGCGGTCTACCGGCTCCGTGCTCGCCGTCGCCGCCCCGTCTTGGCCGCCGCGCCCCGTCGCTGCCTAGCATACGTTGACATGGCTCGTCACTCCCTCGACTCACACCTACTCCTGGGACTGTCGTTGCTACGGTGCGACGGAGTTGGATACGGGCTTCGCCTTACGCGAAGCTGCTGGTTGGGCCTCCCAACCCCCTTTCAAACTTGCTGTGGGCCTCGTGAGCGGCCAAGAAACGAATTTGCTAAACGTGGACGTTTCCCTTCGGGAACGGGCCGATGTTTGCTTGTGGAAGGCCTCTTGGGCCCGCGCCCTGGTGGCGCGTCGGAGCGTGCAAGGGGCCTCAGGGGCCGCGTGAAAGGCCAAGAGGCGACCGCGTTGGAAATGTTTGGTTTTCATCGAGAATGGGGCGGTCGTTGCTTGTGGAAGGCTTCTTGGGACGCCTCTGGGTAGCGTCTTGCGGCGTCTTGGGGGGCCGCAGGGCTGTCGGGAGGCAGCGTTGGACGAATTGGGGCTCTGTTGAACGACTTGGGCCGGCCTTTTTAAGAACCCTCGTGGCCCGTCTTGGGGGACCCTCTTGGGACCGTCCTGCGGCTCTCCAGGGCCGTTGCTATGGTTCCTGGGGCCGTCGTGGAGCGCCCGGAAGCCGTCTTGGAACCTTTTTAAAAGCTTCTGGGGCTGTAGGGGGTTCGATATTGCATGCTTTCTGTACAATTGTAGGCCTCGTGGAAGCCCACGAGGCGAATGTGCCGAAAAATGTACGTCTACACTAGGGAATGGGACGATGCTTGCTTTTGGAGGCCTTCGTGGAGCGCCTCGTAGTAGTTTTTTGTTCAAGCGCTTCGGGGGCATCTGGGGGATCGTCTGCAGGCAAGCTTGGGCGGTTCGGACCGAATCGTCCCCCGTTGTGGGCCCTCCAGAAGGCCTTTGGGGACCCTCTTGGCCCGTTGTGGGGCTCTCGTGGGACCGTCCTGCGACTGTCCTGGGCCGTTGCTGTGGTTTCTGAGGCCTTCGTGGTGCGCCTGGAAGCCGTCGTAGAGCCTCTTTGAGAGCCTCTTGGGGTGTCGGGGTCGAACTTGGAGGTTTACTGGGCCGTTGTAGGCCTCGTGGAAGCCCAAGAGGCGAATGTGTTGAACATGTACGTATATCCTAGGGAGTGGGGCGAGTTTTGCTTCTGGAGGCCCTCTTGGGGCGCTTCGTGGACGCGTTTTCAAACGCTTTCGGGGCCTATGGGGCCGTCTTGAGGAAATCTTGGGCGGTCTGGACCGAATCGTCCCCCGCGCGGGCCGTCTGGGTTGGGGACCCTGTTGATCCGTTTTGGAGCCCTCTTGGGACCGTCCTGCGGTTCTCCCAGGCCGTTGCTATGGCTTTTGGAGCCTTCGCGGATCGCCTGGAAGCTGTCGTGGAGCCTTTTCGGAAGCCTCCTGGGCTGCGGAGGGTCGATCTTGGAGGCGTCTTCGGCCGTTGTGGGCCGCGTGGAAGCCCAAAAGGCGAATGTGTTGAACATGTACGTTTTCCCCGGGGAATGGGACGATTTTTGCTTCTGGAGGGCCTTCGCGGGGCGCCTCGTAGTATTTGTTCAAGAGTCTTGGGGACTGATGGGGCTGTCAGGAGGCAATCTTTTGTGTTTTGGAACGGTCTTTCGTCGACTTGTATCTCTCATGGACCGTTCCGGGACTGGACCTCTTTGAACTTTTTTTGCCCGTTTTGAGGCCTCCTGAGGCTCCAAGTGCGCGGCTGACACCTTTGCCCCCCCCCCCCGCCCCTCCGAACCGGCCGGACCGGGCCCCTGGGGGAGGGGTTTGGGAAGGGGGAAGCATCTCATACGCCGTGACCCCAAGGGTTCGGCGGATTCCCTTCGGGAGCAAAGCCGTGAAAACTGGAACAATACAGTGAGATTCAGTATCGGCGCTGGTATATCTGTGGTCTGAAACCGGCCTGATTTGGTCTCTAATCCCGCTTTGGCCCCTTTCATCGGCTGAGTCGCGTTCAATTTTTGGCCCAATCCGGCGAAGTGGCCACTGTAGCCCAGCCTTAGTAGCCTTTACGGTCAGTAATTTTCGGATAGCGTGTCCATCCGCTGGTTCTGGCCCACCACGCTTCGGCGCCACACGCTAACCATTTCCCAGCCCCCTTGCTTCAGCATCCTCAGTTTTTCCGAGCTTTCCGCCCCGCGCAACGGAGCAATACGATATTCCCGCTCGCATGGCACAGCGTGTCGCTGGGGTCGCCGCGGCGACACGCCAAGCAAAAGTTCCGTGCCGCTTTCAGTTCTCACGAAGACCCCCCGGGAGTTGCCGCCCAGACCGCAGAGGAAGCACCCCTGCGTCTCAGAAGGCGAGGGCCTTCTCTGTTGATGTAAGGTCGGCGCCTTTTAAGAAGCAGCCTCCTTCTAAGACGCCTTCCCCCCTCCCCCTACCCCCGTTTGCGCGCCGCCAGGGAGGGCCCCCCGAAATCCCCGGCCCGCGAGGTTGGCGGAGAGGCTGCGGCGCCCCTGTGCGAGATCGTGGCCGAGCTGGAGCGGGCGGTCCAGCGCTGGTGCCACGGCGACGCGCAGGCGGCCAGTCCGCCGCCCTTTTGGGGTCGGCGTCGGACTCTGCGCACAGCCTGATGGGCCCATGTTCCACCACCACTACCAGAAGTAGGAGAGGGAGGAGGAGGAGGAGCAGGAGGAGGAGGAGGAGGAGGACCTCCTCGTCTTCCCTTCTCCCCCGTCCAACCTATGGTAGTGCTGGTGGTGGCAAGTTGGTCCATCGTTTTTAGGGTCGGCGTCGGACACAGAGCCTGTCGAGGAAGATCGAGAGCGGCATGTAAGTTCGGCTGCGCGTGAGGGCGACCCTTCGCCGGAGGGACCTCGTTGGTGCGCGGCTTTCGGACGGGCGCTGCGGGGACAAGCCCAAAAGCACGCAGGCCCCCACTCTCGCACGGCGCGCCACGGCCAGCAGAAAAGCCGCACACCACAGGTCAATCCGACCTACAGTGGAGGCCCGTGCCAAGAAACACCCTGTTTGCCTCCAGGGTGCCTTGGGTTTCTTGGCATTCGATGGTTTTGCGATGGAAAGTCAATGGACGTCCTGGGGTCTCAGGGTTGGGTTTCTTGTGGAAGGTCTCTTGTGGACTGGCCTCCACTGTAGGGTTACTCTTGCGCGTAGCCGAGAATTGAATCGGCGCTGCCCCCCCCCCCCCCAGCGCCGCCTCTGGCGCGCTCCGCGCGCCGGGCAGGGGGTCAAGGGCTGGTCCAGGAAATCCGTGCGGACTTTCGAATCATCATGCTCATTCGGTCGTTTTGTTTCGGAGGTTGATAGACCTCCTACCCTGTGACATGTCGATTAGCCAATTGGCCGTGTTTGGTTCGCGAGAGGGCGTCGCGGTCGTCATGTCTGCGGGTCCAGGTCCGTCGGTTTCGGTCCTAGGCCGTCTTCACCGAAGGGTGGTTTACTAAAGGGAGGTTTGTCCACCGCCGATTGTTCCCCTAGCTGAACTAAGGGCCATCTGGGTCTTCAGGGGCTCCGGTTTTCGGGCCGTTGCTTTAGATCCTGGTCGGGGAGCCCGTTCGTGGCCGAGGCCCACCGGGTCCATACAAGCCCCATTGGTCTCTTGCTCAGCGTCCCAAATGGGAGCCTGACGGCTGCACCAGTCGGGCAAGGGGGGTTACGAAATCTGCTGCATGCAGTTGGTTTCGGTTCCGCCGCTGGGCCCATTCCTCGATACAGGGGCGCCTCCCGGCGCCGGAACGCGCCGGGAAAATCAGCCACGTGAGCTGATTCTCGAACCCCCCCTTTGTTATCCCCCCTTTCGCCCGGCCCGAACCAGAGCTCGAGTTTGCCAACGCTTTGTGGCGGTCTCGACGTGGACCCTGGCAGTCCAATCGTCGTGAGATGCTTGCAGAGGGGGGGGTGAGACTGGAGTGAGACGTGTGGTGCCCCAACCTGGACATCGCCGGTTTCGGTTCCAGTTTATTCCGTGCGTGACGCGCGTGCGGGCGAGGCGAAGCAGCGCGAGTTCTTGCACGAAGGTCACGCCACAAGGAGAGGCGCCCTGGGGGTTGGAGCGTGCGTTGGGGCGTGCCCCGGGGTGTCCCGTTGGCCCGATGGCTGTTCCGGTGGCTGTCCCCATGGTTGTCCCGATGGTGTTCCCGATGGTTGTCTTCTTTGTTGTCCCGCTGGCTGTCCCGATGTTTGTCACGATGGTTGTCACGATGGTTGTCCCAGCAGTTATTATAATGTTTGTTTCGATGATTGACCCCTTGGCTGTCCCGATGGTTGCCGCGATCCGGTGGTTGTCCCAATATCTGTCCCGATGGTTGTCCCAGTGGTTGTCCAAATGGTTGTCTCGATGTTTGTCCCGACGGTTGTCCGATGGTCGTCTATGTTTGGCCCGATGTTTGATTCGATTGTTGCCCCGATGGTTGTTCCGATGGTTGTCCCATGCGTGCCCAATTGATTTCGAGTGCTTCATCGTTCAACAGCAAGCCCCAAACCACACGCTCTTCATCACCCGCAGAGTGGTCCCATGAGGACTGCAGACTGGTCCTGTCGTTTTTTCACGGCCCCGACCGGCAAACTCGAGTCCCCCAAACTCCAGCTTGACGTATCCCCAGTTGCTAGGGGTGGGTGCATGGGAATGAGTACTACTGCATGCAGCTGGAATCGATCCCGACGCCAGTCGCTTGCTCGATCATTTGGCGTCTCCAGCGCCGGGAGGCGCCAGGAAAACCAGTTACGTGAGTTTTAAGTATACAAGGAGACAATGTGGGCGAATGGCCCAGGGGAGGGCAACACATCCATCCAGGAGCGCCGATGGTCCGTCCCTTCGGCGAGGCTCCCAGGCGAATGCGTGTGATGCCCGCCCCTGGGCTATTCGCTCCTATCGTCGCCGTTTGTAGGCTGGGATGGGGGCTGCGAAGCCCGGAGAAGACGACGCCCATACCCACCCAGGGTAGGTCGGCCAGCGGGGGCAAGGTTTCCCCCCGGTGGGGGTGGGGATGTATCACCGCCCCCAGCCAGGCCTATCCCAGGCCCACGATCGGTGTATATGCTTCCAGTGTCGAGCCAGGGGGGCGTGCACCGCTCCTGGGCTCAGCATTGGCCTGGCCAGGAGCGGTAGGTCTCATGAAATACATGCGAGCATCTGGCGTCGGGAGGAGCAGTTGCGTGGGTTGATTCGCTCACCCCTGTCGTCCGACTTGGGACGCGATGGTCATGTTTGAGAGCTCTTTCAGCCTTTTTGCCGAACCACGGCTGTAGTGCCCACAGGCAGATCAAGTTGTTACACCTTCCTATCCTGTCTCTGCAGTGACCTTGTCTGTGCCTTCAAGACGGAGGAGGGTGACGACGTGTAACGAGGGCACAGGCGAGGATGTAGAAAAGGAAAAGGAGGATGAGATAGGAGAGCTTCTCGTCCTCCTCCTTCTCCTCCGTCTCCTGCTGTTTCTCAAACTTGTTCTCCTTGTGAGCTCCCTCTTATTATTTTCCTTGCACTGAGCTTCCTCCTCCTGCACATCAGATTTGCCGTCTTCATAATTCTGTGCACTTTTTCCTCCCGGCCGCCACCGATCCTCCCGTGCTCCTTCTTTCATGATCCATCCCCCCTTTCCCCATCCTCCTCCTCCTCCTCCTCCTTCCTCATATCCCCGCCGCGATCGCCCCGCAGGCGTCCTTCAGCTTCTCGGCCTACGAGGACGCGCGCGCGGGCGTTTCGGCCGAGCCCCCCTGGCGCATGCAAGCAGCCCTCGAGTACCTCGCACAAGGATTCGGGGTGCTCGCTTACCAGCGGCTGCGGGGCGTGCTCTACGAGCGCCTCGTTGGCTATCCCTTCCCGGGGGACGAGGGCTTGCCCCCTGCGGGCAGCTCTTGGCCCCTCGGCTGGGGCCCCGAGGGCGGGGGAGGGGGCACGTGCCCTTCCCAGCCCCCTGGGCCTCCGCCGCCCGCCGTCTGCCTCGGGCTGGCGGTGGACTTGAGCAGTGGGCTTACGCCCCTCCTGCTCTCCAGCGTGGTCGCCGCCCTGGTGGCCACCGCAGCTTGCTGCTGTTGCGGCGGCTGCTACGTCGGAGCGCTTGCGCTCCGCTGCTGGGTTGGGCGCCATCGTGCTCCCCAGCCTCAGCTGGCAGTGCGCCTGGATCCTCTCAGGGCACCCCCTGCTGCCCCCGTTTACGGGGAGCGCCGCGCGGAGGCGCGGGCCAGGGCGGCGGGCTACCGCCCTGACGTGCTCCCTCGCCCTACTGGGGCCGAGGGGCACTAGCTTCTCCTTTGCTGCCCTCGGGCAGCCCAGGCACTGCCTGGTCGGGGCGCGCCCCGTCGGGTCCCTCTGGGGCTCGTCTCTTCTTCGCCTCTTGTATGGTCATCAGGGCCGATGCCTTCCGAGCCACCGCCCGACGGCGTCACGCGCGCGCCGTTCGCCTCCAGCCGCGGGCGCGACTCTTGGCTTCATCCGTCAGGCGTTCGTCTGCTCAAGGACGGCTGGTTGCGCATTCACGGGCCCGAGCTCGCCGTGGGCGAAGAGCCTCTCCCAGGTGCCTCTCGAGCGTCTCCGTGCCACGCCGCCGACGAGGGAGGCGCCGAGCTAGAGGTAGATTCGGAGCCCTCTCAAGCCGCCGAGGCCGAGGCCCCAGCTCCTTTTGCTGGCGCCGTGAGGGGTGCGCCGAAGCGCGCAAGTCGCGCCCTTCTCATCCCCCCCCCCCCCTGGCGCGGCCGTGCCTAGCGCGCTGCACGGGTGGCGGAGCCCGTGCTCGACGAGCTGGACGGCGCACCCCTGACTCGCGCCGAGCTCCAGGCCGAGATTCGCACTATGATGGCCGATCAAGCCTCGAGGTTGCATGGTCCGCCGCTCGGCACTCCAGGGGCTGGCGTTCCTCCTCGAGCGGGCGCGCCCCAGCTCTTCGCAGACGGGGCCGCCTGCGTGGGTCTGCAAGTCTCCCCCGAGCAAGACCCAATGATGGACGAGATCCTAGGGCGAGCGCCCGCTGTGCCCAGCCGCGTCCAGCTGCGCCCCACCCCCGCCTCTGCTTTGGTAGCAGCGCGGGGCCAGCCGCCTGGAGGCGCCTCGCCTCCCAGAGCGCCCATGCCTCCGCTGCCGCCTGGCCTGGCCGCTCATACAGGTGGCGTAGCCGCCGAGGCGGCCGCCGCGGTGTCGGAAGGGCTACAGGGAGCCCCCCCCCGCGTCAGATCTGAGCCTGGCTCTGCAGTGCCTGCAGGCCTCGCTTCAGCAACAGCAGCGGGCCCCGCGGGCCTCCGCTCATCCGCTCTTGGGACCGTTGGGCGAGGCAGCTCAGAATCTGCCGAGCTACGGCGGCAGCGGCAGCGGAGGCATCGCCCAGCATCCAGGTATGCGAGGGATCGCCCGCCGTCGGGATTGGCAGAACACGCTGGACCAGCACGGGCCCGAGATCAGGGCGTTGATGCGGACGAACCTCGCAATGGGGGTCGACCCTGCGGATCTGACGCCTCACGCGATGTTCACATAATTTCGCGAGCACAGCCCGGCGGGGGCCAACTCCGCACTTCGCCCTCTGCTCACCCACACGGCATGGCTCAGTGCCGAGCTCTGGCGGGCGGCCGA